ACCCTGGAAGTTTTGAAATAACCGGCCAATAACGGAATAACTTCTGGGGCTGTCACCAACATGACTGCATCTCTTGGTATGTACACGCCCACATGAGTGGCAAAAAGCTTAAAAGTTTATTGGGCTGCCTGTTAAAGCTATGATTTCTCAGTGAAATTGGTATTTTCAGACATTTATCTGCTTATTGTATTTATTTATTTGAACTGTGCTGTTTGTCCTTGGAGAAACTGCATACACAAGCCTCTGGCATCTTCAAACAACTGTAATTTTTCATCTTTTCCTTATATTTTACAATATTTTTAAGGACCTGTTTTTTACATCTGTTTTGTGCACATTAAAAAAAACACTTGCCTCAGTCTGCATTCTCCTGGATAGCACCGTCTGCAGCCTGTCTGGCATCTCATATTTGCTGGTGGGATGAGGTGGTTTGTTCCACTGCTGCGTTCATGATCTCATCCTGTTAAGGGCTTATTTTGGCCTCCATCGAGTGCTGATGTATTAGTGGTTAACAAAGAGGGGCCATTTCCCCCCTATTTTATTTCTGCTCTACTGACCTTGATTGCTTTGAAAAAGCCTTGCTTGTTTTGATTGGGGTGCTTACTGTGGTGAAGGCTACCGACAGAGATGTCACAGCCAATCAAAGGCACAAAGTTGTCATGCGGATATTCATAGTTTAGCTGTTCTTTCAGCAGAAGAAGTAAAAACACATCTTGCTTTCATTTTTGGGTTTAATTTTACTTTTAAATAGTTAAAGCCATTTATATTGAGGAATGCAGGCCAATAGAAATGTATTTTTTCCGATGAATCAGTGCAATCATTGTCCAATATTCCAAGTTGGTTATTTTTATATGGAAAATGATTTTCCCAGCTGCAATTTTGAGACCTGGAATCAGGTTTTCATTTTTATAGGCATGGGCATCTATGGCCTTACAAGCTGGATTGATCCAGCTGAAGCAGCTTGTTTACATCAGGCGATGGAGAGATTTCAGGAGACTCAGATAGCTTACAGATCTATTTTACTTGTTCTTGTTATTGGTATTTTATATCTAATGATACAGTTTGCTTCAACATTTTGGAAAAGTTATGGAATTAGATTTAAATTCTTTCTATGCTTGTAATTGTATGTCAAATAAAATTAGACCAAAAATAATTTTTATTTCCAGATTTTTTTCTGCATCTTGTTATCTAAATGTTGTGTTCTTCTTTGAGTCTTTCCTTCCATTTTTCTTTATTCTGTCCTCCCTTCTTCAATTGTTCCTTGTGCCCTCCATACCTTACTCTCTGGTAACCTTTGTTCCTTCCTTTCTTCCTTAGAAGTGGAAAAAGTGTTTTTTTCAATTCTAAACACCTTTTGCAAAACTTCGCCTTCCTTCTTTTCTTCTTTTTTTCCTTCCTTCTTTCCTTCCTTTTTTACTTCCTTACTTTCTTCCTTCCTTCTTTCCTTCCTTCCTTCCAACAAAAGAACATCTTTACTATAGATGCTGTTCATCTTGAGTCTTCAGCCTTAAAAAAATGCAAAGACAACTCAGATCAACTTCTTAATGGAGAAAATCCACAGATCAAAGCTTTTAAAAGCAGGTAAGCTTGAAGTGTTGCTGATGAATAAAAGGGACACTCACAGGTTGTTCAGAATGTGGTAAAAGTTAGAGCAGAGACAGAGCAGCTGCTTTATCTCTGTAAGACCACGCACAGCATTGGTCTCGGCACATCCATTTAATGGCTTAATGGGTGAAGACCTTAAGACAGACTGAGGGAACTGAGCTGGAGGAAGAAGGGGATCCTTCAGACGTATGTGGGGAGAATTTCTAGAGAAAGAGGATCTGGGAAACCTACTTCCTGTGCTCAGTAGAAAGACAACAGCAGAATCAAATGTATTACAATTGTATGACGGTACAAATAACTGTAACACTGTGACGTCTTTGTGTTGTGGAGTCTTAACAGAGCTAGAGAAATTATTATGTTCTGTTTTTTTTTTCTTATCTGAAGCTGCTTCTCCTGCTTATACCACTCTGATAAGACAATGTTTTTTTTCTGGAGCCAAATAAAACAGCCTGCTATTGAATGACTAGAATTCCTGAATAAATCAGGAATGTGTAGGAGAGTTGTGAAAATTCAACATTTTGGTCTGTTGTAGAACAACAAATCATGAATTACAAGCAGATACCTTTTCACAACAGACTGTTCAACACCAGGAGACACATTGATATTTGGTTCTTAACTTACTAACTTACTCCTCTCTCTAAACACAGTTCACTTTATGTCTTCGTTGTGTTGAATGTGACTTTATTTTCATTGTTGCTTTTGTTTGCTCCCTCTTTTAGTGGATAAACCTCCCATTCTGTACATCACAGAGCTTACTGCTAACATTAAATAGACATCAGTATAACCACCTTGTCCTTCAAAAGCACACCTTATTCAAATGGTTGAAGTGTGCCCTCAACATGTCTCCCAAGTTCTGCAGGTGCTTACTAATGACTAATTCATTCTAAATGAAGGAAGGGAACATTTTAAAGATGGTTGTGGCCCTTCAGGTCTGGAACTGAAGGGCCTCAGATCTCTTGTCATGGACATTATTTCACTTTTAAGCAGCTTTTGCAAAACCCGCTTCTTTTCTGCTGAGAAGAGGTTTAGATGTAGCACAAGTGTGTTTGGGAAGCAGTAGCTGATTTCCTCCTCTCTTGTTTTGATTCTCTTCTTTAAACATTCACTTTTTTAATGTGACAGATATAAACAGCTGTAAGATGGTCATGCGGGCTCAGTTTTAGCCTCAGTGCGAGTGCAAGTGCTTGTACCCACATTCCTGTGGTCTGTGGGTTGTTTGCCAAGCATAGCTGCTCATGTATTATTGGCTTATTGTATGCCATTATTTAATTCTCTTCTTTTTGTTCATCAAGAAGTATGATCAAATGCGAAGATCCCAGATAACCGTCTCTTTTGATAAATGGTAACTGTCTTCCTGGCGAGCGTGAAGGTATGCCTCTTTTGTAGTCGGAGCCATGGTGCCATCACTCTGCGATGCAGAAAGTATGTGCATGTGTTGTGGGCTGGGGCTGTTGCTGGTGGTGGTTGGCAGACGAGCCCACATGGGTCAGTGCCATCTGGAAAAGGTTTTTCATAAGTTGACCGTAAACTGGAGAGAGGCTTTGTGCTCACTCAAAGTGAAGAGAAATCTGTGCAGTTTCGATATGGGGGTTCTAGTTGTGGATGTGAAACGGTCTAAATTCTCGACACTGCAATGCATTTACTGTGAAGTTGAAACAACTAAATTGGATGACTTAGAAGAAATAGGACTTTTGCTCATTTTCAGCTTACTCCATTTAAAAAAAGTAAATGTAGAATGTAGATATTTTATGTGATTAACCAACACAAAGTATTGCGTAATTGTCAAGTGGAGTAAAAACAATTTAAAGAATAAAGGCTAAAACGTTTGGGATCCATATGTATTCAGATCCCAAAAACTGCTGCTCTGCTGCAAATGTTTGAAGATATATCTCGACCAGTCGTCTTTTAAAAATCGATCGATCACATTGGAGAGTGTCTGTGAGGATCAAATCTTAAGTCGTTCTACAGATCACACAATTAATTTTGAAAAAGAAAATAATGCATGGTCTATGCTGAAATATGGCACCAACACCTTGTCTCATGAGTTATTTGCTCATCACTGAGGCAGCAGGTTGTGTAGAAATGTCATCTGGCAGGATAAGCAGCAGATGTGACAAACACCAGTGAAGAAAATGATCCAAGGGAACTCAGAGAAAAGAAGAAGCTCAGCTGCTTCCTAGGAGCAATCCCAAGAGGGAAAAAGTGACAGAGACTGTGGGAATGTTTGAGGAATTGTGATGCTCTCCTCCCCTTTGGTTTAATGTGTTTCCTATGAGCATCAATAGCAACAATTTTCCACTCTACACGTACGCCCTACACCATGTGATGTATCCAGGGATTTATATAAAGTCCATTCTTTATTTTAATTTACAGTACTATAATGAATAACAAAAGATTAATTAGTCATAAATTAAATAATTAATTTATTCATTCATTTGTTAACATGTCTTTGTTATCTTCCTTAAACTAGGTCATCAATTTGAAGGCACAGCTGAGTTGTAATTTGTGGTTAGATCTTTTAGAGGTAGAAAAATCAAATACAAAATGTAGCTAAATGTAGTTTAAAAAAATCAAAAAAATGCAATGAACTGCTAGAACAGGCAGTTTATGCAAATAACCTCAAAATGCTTCGCTTGAATGAAATGTCTGCTTTGTCGTTGTACCATGCTGTTCTGCTGAAGGACTGGAGTTTGACAACTAAGGAATCCTAACTAACACTAAAATCTAAAGCACAAAGTGTCTGAATCTACTTTATACAATTGCTTCTCATGTGTGCATGCAATGTTTATACAGACTGAGTACACAAGAGCATTATTTGTATTGCATTATGTACATTCCATGTTGGTGTTATTATGAAATCCCCTAGAAATGATGTCGCCTGTTCAGTTAACACAGCTGGCAGCAAGCTAACTCCTGCACCTCCTGCACTGCAATAGAGACAGAGCAGAAGTCGGGAGGAAGGAGGGGGTGAAGTGAGGAGGCTCAGCAGGCCAAACAACGAGCCCTTTATAATGAATGACTGTTTTCCCCGTGAGTCATGGTGCTTCGCGATCCTGTTCTGTAGCTTGAGGAGGCTCGTCTGTGTGTTTGCGGAATGACACCATCAGGACGTCATGTTTGCATGTATGTCCTGACAGCCGCACACCAGTTCAGCTTCTGCTTCGTACAAAAGCACATCTTGCAATGCAGGATCTGCTGAATTCAACAGCAGATCTGAAAAATGAAGCTATTCATTGCTGCCTATATGCCTTATAGAACAATCCTTATTTGTGAGAAGTTTATACTGTAAGACAAATGTTTTTCTATTTTCTCCAACTATAATCAAAAAGTAAACTAGGTTTTTGTTTTGATGTCTAAAGTATTAAATTGATTCTGCTTTTTCTTTGTCCTTTGCTCAGAACCCAGAGGATTCCTAGATGCCATGAACCACTCTGGTGGTTCCACAGATGGAGATGTGTTCCGATCGGACGTTCCCGTCACACAGAGGATATTTGGCTCCATGAGCTCAGTGTCAACTAGCAGCTCCCTCCAACACACAGACAGGTGAAGATCTTCAAAATAAAAAGACATCTCTGAGTCATAAAGTTAATATTTATTTTGTGATTTATCCAGAAAGGAGATGCAGGTTAATCAGGGTTGGAAAATAGTAAATAATCCAGAACGTGGTGATCCATATACACTGTTGCAGCGTTCGGATGCACCAAGGGCTAGAATTTAAAACAGGAATAGTCACATTTTGACAGTAGCCTCTCGCAACAATGGTGATCTTATGGTGCTTACATGCACCCTGACTAATTAGATTGAGAAAAAAAACAGTAAAGTATAACAAGGAAAAAATAAAATGCATGTAAGGTTGACAGAGATATATTCTTATAAATGTAACTTTTTAGTCTTTGTTAATCCTGTAGTAGTTTATTTAGCAACTTGTTTTTATTTAGTACTGCACAATAATGCAATGACAGTGATTGTCATTGCATTGATTGTCATTGCATTATTTACTAACACTTTCATCTCTCTTCTCTGTGTCAGTATATGTTCTCACCACTCTCTGTGAGCTTTAAGTCAATAAAATTTACATCAAGCGTGGGATTAGAGTTCAGACAAAGTTCATCCGACTGAGCAAATGCCTTATGTTACCGGCATGCAGAGAAGCAATCCATGACATGATGTAAATGCATTTGAAACATAATAGCTTACCAAATATTTTGTCCAAGCATTTCTTTACAATTGGAGTTCAGCACCCTCTGATGCAGCGATGACCTTTGTGTTTTGATATCTTTCATACCTATATTTATTCCTCTCACATACCTCAAAGTAGAATCTGACTCAAACAAAAGTCTGATTCTTTCAGCTATTTAAAATGTCTTTTTATCTCAGCAAAAAACAAATAGAAATGTTATTACCCCCACATTGCAAAGTAAAACCATGACTTATGGTTATAAACATGCTTCACCATTCCTGGACCAGCAGTAGTCCAGGTTGTTGACACAGAGCTCGTTGGCCCCGTTGATTCATGCAACTGATTATGATCTGCAGCTTCAACAGAAATTCAAAATCATCAAGCTGTTTTCAGATGTGTCTGTGAACCTTTGGCCTCTGCAGCTTCACATGTCTTACCTGAGACAAAGTGGTTGTTTCCATGTATAGGTCATTCAACTCAAACGGGTTTGACACAATACTTTTATGCTGTGCACGGTCATAAGAGAAGGCTTAAAAAATAAAATAAACATTGACATTGAAAACAGCTTAAATATTATCAGAATCTTTACTGACAATGCAGACTACGGCTATAACACTTTTGCATGCATGGATTATTTGCATGTGTGTTTTAAATTCATGTCACCTAAAGCCTGAATATTTGTGTCGGAGAACTGCACCCACAGCCCAGCTCAGTTTGTTTTCTTCTACAGCCCTCCTAAACAGGAAATCTGTGTCAAGGGTTTCTCCAATTTTAGATTGCTTCTTAAATTATTATGTGAAAAATTATTTCAACCCATGTCGTGTCTTTATCTTTACTTGCAGCTCCGCTTTGCCTCCTGTGTGGCACAGCCGGACACCAGACTCCTTGAACTCACCATATCCTCCCCAATCTACACCCCCGCTACTTCTCAGCTCTCCTAATGCTCACAGTTCCCCGCGGGGCGCTCAGAGGGGCCGGGGAGGGAGCTCAGGGGACCGCAGTGGAATCGACAGCACAGACTTGTCCTCGTTGTTGTTATTGGGAAATGGTGGCCTGGAGCACAGCCTGCTGGAAGCCGTGGAGGGACTCGGGAATCTGAATCTTGGGGGAGATGCAGGGATTGCTCCCCTACTGCCGGAGAAGAGAAGAACAGGTGAGGGGGGAGAACTGGGCTCACGATCCCCCTCTCTGAGCGGGTTCTCCAGCCCACGCAGCGGCAGCAGCCTCAGTATCCCTCTGTCGTCGACCCTGGCCTCAGATCCGTTCAGAGGACTCAGTGGGGCCTCCTCACCCGGAGCAGGTACTATTAAGTCTTATTCGGCCTCACATTTGATTTGTGTTCTTCTTATTCTGTGTTTATTAAACCCAAATTATATTAAAACTCTACTTAAGGTCCTATACTCTCCAAAAAATATCTTGTACTTGTCAGTAAAACCTTTAGCAACATACATTTTCCAATAAAGTATATAAGGTTAATGAAGCACAATTAGTTAGGGGAAGAAAGAATCGTGCCACTTCTTTTCTTGTCTTTTACTTCTCTAAGAGATAAGTCATACACCTTTGTCCCTTAGTTTTACTGAGTTGTTCAATCCCTTAAATCTTACCTAAAAATAATTCTGGTTTTGTTGGCTTTATCTGACTGCAATCTCCAGGTTTCAATGGAGCAGTTCACAGCCGAGTGTAAAGGGGCTGGGATTAGGCTAAAGCTTCCAAAGCCGAGACCATGGTCTTAAGCCAGAAGTCGAGGTGTTTCTAGTTTCTTTGGATATTGTTCATGAATTTGGGAAAAATGGAGAGGGAGATCAATAGTTGGAATGGTGTAGCATTTGCAGTGATACAAGCTCTGTACCAATCTGTTGTGGTGAAGAGAGAGCGGAGCAGAAAGGTGCTCTCTTGTGAGATGCCCTTCTTTTACCGGTCGATTTAAGTTCCTACCTTCATCTGTGGTCATGAACTTTGGGTAGTGACCGAAAGAATGAGATTGCAGACACATGTGACTGAATGAGAAACCTTCAGAAACCATGGTCTTCTTACAATAGAGATTAAATTGATTTTATCTTTAGTGGTCAAATGACAAGAAAACCCACAACTTCATTATTATTATTTTTTTAAGAAGAATGTCCCAAATAAAACGTTTTGGTGCACTTCCTCAGGCAAAAGACAATGAAACTTTATGTCAAGTGAAATAAAATGAAAAAGAAGAATAAAGTCTGCCCAGATAGAACATAAAGTATATTTTCTGTAAATTTCAAAAGGTGTCAATGACGCCGAATGCTGACAATTCAACACGTTTGATCATTTGTGTTAAAATGAAAATGATCCCAATTCACTACCTGTCCTGACTTTGAGAATCTGTCTGATCTTTCCTCCTCATCTTACCCATCATCACCATCCTGAAACGTAATGCCAGGCTCTGATTTGTGCCCTACAGATTCTGGCAGTAAGCAGGACACTGTGAAGTTTGTTCAAGACACGTCCAAGTTCTGGTACAAGCCCGACATTTCCAGAGACCAAGGTAAATATTGGCCTTGGAGCAGAAAGCCAGGCGGCCTCCAGTGAGCGTATAATACACCTCTGTGTAAAGTTTTTTTTTCTTCCTCTTTCAGTATTGAATGTGATTTTAACTGTAGCCTTTCACTGCTTCCTCCCTATGTTGACCTTCTGATTAGCCATTGCAGTGCTGAAGGACAAAGAGCCCGGTTCGTTCATCGTCAGAGACAGCCATTCATTTCGCGGGGCGTATGGACTGGCCATGAAGGTGGCTACGCCTCCTCCCTCAGTGGTACACCACAGTAAAAAAGGTGATTGGATTACCTTAGAACAAATGCATGGTTTTGTAATTTCATAGTGGATCTTGGATGTGAAAAATCATAATGAGGAATCATTTAAAATCTTTCTTCACTTCTAATATGATTCATGTCCTTGTCTGACAAGGACATGATTAAAAATGCTGCTGCATTATTAACACATTACCTAACACTTTGTTGAAGCATCTTTTGGTTAAATTTTAGCATTCAAGCAACAGTTTGTGAACCTGACTTGTCAACATTTATCCACTCTTATATTAGGAGGAAATCTGTTTTTAAAATGGTGCAGCAGATTTTCTGTAAGGTCTAGTTCTGGACTCTGGCTTGAATTTTCTTCTGGTTTATTTTTTTCTACAACTTTTATAACTTAAATCCATCTTTCACTTCAGCTTGTTAAAAAGCAGCTTCTAGTTTTGGAATAAAATGTGTTCATATTTGAAGCTGATTGTGATATCATCCTTCTTGAAAAAAGAAAAAGAAAAACACTGTCCCATTAAAAGGAAATCCACAGCATGACGCTGCCTCCTCCGTGTTTGAGTGGGGCTATGGTGACCTTTTGTGTTCGTACAACAAGGTACCAATAGAAATTGTGACCCAAACATTAAAGTTTGTTTTCATCTTGAGACATCTTTCTTCTCAGGTTCTTTGAACATTTAAAAAATATCTGCTCCAGAAATATGGCAAATGAAGCTTCTTAGTGTAATGAGAATCTTTTAAACATTGAAAAAATATGTTCTAAGATATCAAAGTTAATATAACAATTTCACTTGTAAATTTAGTTTTCTTTTTCTTCTTAAATTCTGTGTTTTTGTTTTCAGTGGGAGATCTGTCCAGCGAGCTTGTGAGGCACTTCCTGATTGAGTGTACACCTAAAGGAGTTCGTCTTAAAGGCTGCCCCAATGAGCCCTACTTTGGTGAAAATAATTTTCCAAAATAATATATATTTTTTTCACTATATACTTGATTAAATTATATCTATAAAAAAGAATAGCTACAGATTAAACCAATATTTTGAAATGGTTTTCTACTCCCCTCTGCTGGCGGTAAAGACAAATTGCAGCTGTTTGTAGATGTTTTAATAACATTGAATCTTTCACTCCTGTGACAGGAAGCCTCACCGCTCTGGTGTGTCAGCACTCCATCACCCCTCTGGCTCTGCCCTGTAAACTCATCCTGCCTGATAGAGGTAAACATCAATTTATCCTGAAGGGAGAGCTGAGAGTTGACCTCCTCTGTCTCAGTCAAATCCTTAGATTACATTTTAGTCTGTGTTGTTATTGTAGAGTGCTTCCTTATTTTATTGTATTTTTTTTGTTTAACAATAACTTCTGTGCTCTACTTTTAATTTAACACATTTTAACACTTCAGCTTGTTGGTTTGCTTACAGAAACCAACAATAATTTTAGTAATTCTATCACACATTAAACATGTTAGATTTGCTGCCAGACAGGAAAATTTCCTAAGACACTTTTCAAAATGCAATTAATCAGTTTCCACGATGCTTATTTTATTTCTTCTTGACCTTTGTGCTTTACTGTGACTCATGTGTGACATCATTGCTGTTTATGTCCAATAGATCCTTTAGAGGAGCTGAACGATGCATCGACACAGACAACAACAAACTCAGCAGCTGAACTTCTCAAACAGGGTGCAGGTGAAACATTTACTGATAATAAAATAGTATTTCAAAGGAACAGACATCTGTGCCCATTTTGGGTGAAATACTCATTTAATGTGCTTTTTGGTGTTAGCGTGTAACGTGTGGTTCCTGGGTTCTGTGGAGCTGGAGTCTTTGACGGGTCAGCAAGCGGTCCAGAAGGCAACCACACTGACACTCGCCATGGACCCTCCACCTCCCTCCACTGTGGTCCACTTCAAAGTGTCGGCTCAGGGAATAACGCTCACAGACAACCAGAGGAAGTGAGCATTTGATTGGCAACATTTTGACAATAGAATTGTCACAGTGAGGAATAAGTAAATGGCTTGGTTGCTGAAAGGATTTGCCATGTTTTGTCCCAAAGTTAACTATTTCTTAATTTTATTTTGTGATTTACATCTTTTATTTGAGTTTTTCAGTTGTCTTATGGAAGACAACTGAAAGACTATTGAATATTCATTCAATATTTATTCGTACTGAATGAATATGTTAATTCAGTTTTCACATATTCATGTTGAATGGCACATAATGGTAAATATGGGTAAAAATCAGAACACTTAAAAATACTAAACTGTCATGGTTGAAAGTGCTAATTCTGAATGATTTATTTATTTATTTACTAATTTTGCTAAGTGAGATTACAATGTTTAAAATATATATAGTATAGAAGAGTATAATATGGTATACTTTATAGTGTTATATGTGTTATGCAATAACATATTGAGCAATTTAGTTATTATTATTTGTATTTTTTTTATAGTTGTACTTAATTTTCATAGTTTTGTGTTTTCATGAGGAATGCAAAGAAAATCAAATGAAGGTAACTGCAAAAAAATCTGATGTGTTTCTGTGTTTGACTCTGTAGGTTGTTCTTCAGGAGACACTACACTGTGAACACAGTTATATTCTGTTCACTGGACCCACAGGGAAGGAAGTGAGTAATTTCACCAGTCTGATAGCAGCCATGATCTCCAAATGACGTCTAAAATCTGCACCAGCTAGTAAAGTTAATAACAGTCACTGATAATTAATAAATAGCTGCAAATCAATTCAGTGATTTGAAACACACCCGGCTAAAAAAATTCAACAAAGAAATGATTTGCTCAATGAAGTAAGATTCTTTGGCTATTGTCAGAAACAGTTGATAGCATTTGTTGCCTCAAAGTTTGCGTAAAGGAGATATAAATCTGATGTGCAAATAAATCTGATGTGACAGGTGACAGTTATATTCTCCCATAAGGCCAGGTTGGGTTAGTTGTCTTTCTACCTTTAATAATTATCTTTCAAAAAGTTGCATTAATTTGTCAGACATTAAAATTTGCAAATCGAGAATTTTCAAAGGGACAAATTGTTTTTTTTTTTTTTATGGCACAGTAAGGTTGTTTGGATTTTAAAGACAACCTTCTTGCTGGACTACTTGTAACAGAGCTACGCATGCACAAATACATCATTACCCAAAAAATATGTAACAGCTTTTCGTTCTGGTGTCAAGGGATTTTAAGGGTTCAACTCTGGCATGTAAATAATCTTACAAAAATATTTTATAAACGATAATATAAGTGACAGAAAATAAAATAAATTCTTGCTCATAAAATGCATTTCCCTCGCTCAACATTTACCATAAATGAGTTTATGCTGCAATTTGTTTCAACCTGACTTGGTAAAGACTTCAATTAATGCAACAATTTAGTTATTCCAATAGTACTCAATGCTAGAAGATTTATTAATTTCATTGTAATCCATCTCTATGATTCCTGATGTCAATCGTGGTTTCTGTCCTAAATAGGTGGACAAGAGACAGCATCTCCACAGCCAAGTAAGTAATTTCTTGACACGTCTTTGTTTTTTGCCTTCTTACAGAGTTTTCTTATTTCTCATTTTTGAGCTTGATGTACTTTAGCCACTCTTACATGATTCTAATTTATTAGACCATGAATTAATCTTTAAAACAAAGACAAAAGCAATAATTCAAATGAAAGCAAAGTATTTTCTGTATTTTCAGTAGCTAAAGGTTCCTTAAACAGTATGATTCAATCCCAGCATTTGATCCGAGTATTAGTTGGTTTATAATTAAGGCAGACATTAAGAAAAAAAATTCTTAATGTGATTTGACACACTAATTCTTTTGAATTTTTATTCAAAGAAATTGTTTTTGAACTACTTTTTGGGACTTTATTCAAGTTGTAGGTTTACCTAAATTAGTTAGTTAGTTAGTTTTTCTATGTCAGCAGGCGGGTAGAGGAGTCATTCTTTTTGTTTTGCTTTTAATTTTGCAAACATTGCAGGCTTATTTATATTATACTGTATAGTACTGAAAAAACAAAACAAAACAAAAAACATAATCCCTTTATTTTAAGTTAATCATTTGTTTTCCTCCTTCCAGGATTTTTGGATTTGTTGCCAGAAAATCTCAAAGTGAAACTGAAAATGTATGCCATCTGTTTGCTGAGCATGACCCTGAGCAACCAGCAAGTGCCATCGTCAACTTTGTCTCAAAAGTCATGATTGGATCTCACAAAAAGTGATGGGACAAGGAGATGATCCACTGCATAGAGAACCTGGGGCAAGGATCAAATCCCTGTTGTTGAGTTATTTCACAATTATGGCTAATTTGAAAAGCCCCAAAAAAACTTTTATCGCCGTCACTCCACGCTGGATTCTGTTGGTTCTTTCTGCAAAATGATTTATGCCTGCACTGCAGGATGCCTCCAGAGGAGGGAGCCAAGACTCTGATATCATTGTTCTTGCATTGTTGGGTAGACGCTTTACAAAGTAAAGTGTTGACGTGCCTTCCAGCTTTGAAAAAACACTGAATATGAAAGTATAGGCAAGATTTTCCAGACTTTTAAACTATTTTATAATTTAAAGGAATGAAAATATATTTCTTAAAACTAACTTACTAAAATTATATTAGTTTTTACATTAATGGAATAATAAAAGTGGGTGTAGTCATCAAGTTGTCACTTTTTGCCTCATCTTACTCATCAGATCCACAGTTTTACGTTTTCTGCCATATTGTATTATTTTTCTACAATTTCATGAATAATCTTTTGTCTCCTCAAAAGATTTGTCATTCTTAGCTACACATATTTTTATTCATCTTTATTGTGTTCAAAACATATTTTTCCACATGAAACTGCCACTCAGGGAAAACAAGAGAGAGAGAAAAACATAATTATTTGAATTATAACTGAAATAAATTTTCATGTCTTAACAATTATAATAAACCTCCAATTGCCATACACACACACCCCCCCACACACACACCTATATATATATATATATATATATATATATATATATATGTATATGATTGTAAAAACATGATAGTGATAGCTCTATGTTTCTTTTACCTGAGTGGCAGCTCCACACTTCTGTCCAAATTATCAGTGAATATTTAGACAACAATGACATAAAGATCTAAGATGAAAAATTTTAATCTGCATTTCAATTGTCAAGTTTCTTTAAGCTTTTTTAAAATTAAAAACAAAGATCTCTTAACCAAAATGTGTTTTTTTTAATCACACTGACATTAATTCTATACAGTAGTGAAAAACAAAACATAATTTGTACCTCAGTTTGAGAGTTTTTGGCACATAAACAGATCTGCAGCTCTAACCACAACTTTCTAGTAACCACAGGACAATTCATTTCAATCAAAATGAATAACAACCGACATCAGAAAAGCAACAGTGTGGTTGTACTTAAGATGTATTCTGTATTGCAATTGTCATCCTTCATTAAAGATGTTTAATAATCTTTTTGCCATGCTGTTTTGTGTATTAACACATACTGTACATTAGGGTTTCATATGACTGTCACTTTTTTATTGTTCTGCTATATGTTTGTACTATATATCCTAATATCTAAATACAAGTTTGTTTTATTCCCTTTTCTCATCTGATTCTCATTTTTTATTTTTTATTTATATTTGTGTTGAACTGCACATGTATCATCTGCAGCATTATTTATAGCAACATAGTTGAGTATGTGGGCTATGCAAAAGGTCTTCCCAAAATTTTCCTGCCAATTCCAAACTGCTTTTGGTGGAGGCAGTGTCATGATGTGGGGCAGCATCTCTTCTCGTGGAAATACCAATGTCATTAATGGCTATGATCTCAATGTAGAAAATATTGAGACTATTTTCTGCCACCAGTAACAACATTAGATCTCTACTCTTCACTCTGTCTTTCAAGTTAGCAATGTTCACCTGACAGAATAACATTTAGCAGAAACTGTGTCTTCACAACTTGGGAGTGAAGAGGACACAATGCACTGCAGGCATCCTCAACACAACCCCACTAAACACTTGTGGTTTTAGCCTGCGTGTGTGCTTCATGCCAAAGGAACCAACACAGCCACATTGGTAGGCTTGTGACAAATGTTGGTTGAAGAATGTTACACCATTCCACAGAAATGTGTTACCAAGCTGATGACCAGCATTGGGAGGAGATACCAGGCTGTTGGACCCCATGATCGGGGTGTTGGACCCCATGATCGGGGTGTCGGACCCCATGATCGGGGTGTCGGACCCCATGATCGGGGTGTCGGACCCCATGATCGGGGTGTCGGACCCCATGATCGGGGTGTTGGACCCCATGATCGGGGTGTTGGAGGCTTAGGGATTCACCTTGTAATCTGTAGGTTACTGGTTCAAACCCCCGCTCTGGTTTTCTCATTCATCGTGTCCTTGGCAGCATTTTATTTATTTTTTTTGTCTGCTTGCTCTATTCAGTGTGTGAATGTTTGTATGAGTTATATGACTGCAGTGCATAGTGCTTTGGAGTCCTTGGACATGATAAAGCACTGTACAAGTACAGGCTATTTACATGGTTTTTATGTGTGGTTCTCCTATAAACCAAGGTCAGCCAATTAAGTATTCAATCCAATGAATGATGCGAAATGAGCCAGTTGGCATTAACAGGGAGTATTTGACAAACTTATCTTAAAGGATAAATTAAGAAGAAAACATGAAAATGTTTTAAGAGTTAAAGAGCATACTAATTTAAACTATCAAAGAACAAAAATCAAGGAAAATACTCACATTAAAGTCCTAAAAAGGCTTGGGATCTTGGAGAGGAAAATGTGCAAACCATAAAATATGGATATGATTTTTTTTTTCATAGAAATATCCTGAAATTGCTGTTTAGTTAGTTTTGTGTGAATTCTTTCTTAATAGAGTGGTGTAATTTACAATTTTACCAATAGATGGCAGTCAGAAGCCACTATATGCATATACTAAAACAACTATAATGTATTTAACTTTTTTCCAGGTTTGTAGTTTGCAGCCACTATGGATTCATAGCAAGGACCAGCAGGAGGAGAATCAGGATGAACCTGCTCATGCGTAGAGAACCACAGGCTTCCTAGAAAACCAGAACGATTGTCTCCATGTTTGTGTGTGAGTGATAACGAGAATGTTCTGGAGTGCACATGACAGATGATGGGGGTTGGGAGTTTAATGCCTGATGCATCCTGCAGGTGCCTTGCGGATTGAGTGATGGGACATCTGTCCTCAAATCAGTAGATAGCAGTTCTGAATGAGGCTTTTTTTTTTTTTTTTCCAGGATCCAGGTCTCTGCAGGGAGCCCCGGGGATCTGGAAGTGGGACAGAGATGTGGGGATGTATTGGTATCCTCGAGTCCTGCCTGGCCTTCGGGGGACGGCATGGACAAGGGGGGTGTGCAGTGATGGTGTGTATGTGTGTGTGTGTGCGTGAATGAGGGGTGGGGGTAGCTTTCGTTGGTGGATGACCTCACCATTACGGGAAACTTTCCCACAGCCTGAACACAAAGAAGGCCGTCAAAAGGTAAAAAGAATGAGAAAGAATAGAAATTTAACACAGTGTGTAAAAGAAGGAAGAGCAGTTAGAGGATGGGAAAGAGGTTGTTTCGGAGGGGGAGTCTTGTTGCCTTTACAGGGTTCAGAGATTTTCGGGGTTGATAGAGGTTCTGCCTACCCCCTCACACAGCCTGAATCTGTCCTCAATCTGCTGAGTCACCTATCGCCATTTTCTGCCCCTCCATTTGCACTTCCTGCTGCACTTCCTGTCAGACAGCACACCAGCACCTGGTGGCAAGGTGGTTTTCACAGCCGCCGGCCAGAGCTTCTGGACAACATCACATTCCTGGCATTACTCGCTGAGAATGGTGTTTGGAAATCCAAAGGCCGGCTTCCGTTTGGGAATGCCTCCCTCACAGAGTCTCTCTCAGCCTCTGATCCCTGGTCTCCTCTCATTTTATTTGAGTTAGCTATTTAAAGCTCGTGCTAAGTACGCTGCTGGCTGTAAGGGGGTGGGGAGCAAACACACACACACTTCGTCTCACACGCTAAAACCACAACGACCCACAAATAATCCCACTCCTATTTTTAAGTTACTGGGCTGAGGGGGGATAGTGCCTTCAGGGCTGCCTGAAGAAAATTACAGATTTTCCTTTAGTTTTCATGTTATGCTTAAAATAAAAGCTGATCAGAGCAAAACTAAAGCAACATCACTAAATATTTACTTTTGGACAGTTCTAAAGTGAATCAATTATTAAAAAATAAAAAATCTTCACAGGGACTGCTTCATTTACCAGTTTAAAGAGCAGCAGTGATGATTTCGTAAGCTTTTGACACTTAAAACAGTTGCCTATTTTTACACACAGTAATTTCTGAATGTATTTGACAAAGAAGCACAGTTTAAAGATAAGTTTATTGAAAAGCACATTTTTACTGCACAAACAAAGGGGTATACAACAGAGCCGTTTAACCAGAATACTAAAGGCATCACCAAAAAAATTTATTAACAGTCTTGAAACCTAATTGCATAATCATCTACCCACAATTTGCCACTATATCTATTAAATGGGCAGTGTTTTTTATTTTTCAGGCACATAGGGGCATTTATGCCACTTTTTGCATAAAATTTTTCTCAAATAATGAAATTTAACCTGCTCAGTTCTGCCTATTTTGAGCCTCTTTCAGACTGAGCAGTTTCAGAGCCTCTTGTCACTTTAAATCCAGACAAGCTGTTGCTGGTCACCCCCCTAGCCCCCATAACATATACACTGGCATTTATATCCGTCAAAATGGCTGCAGACAGATGCACAATTGTACAATGGTCCATCTTCGAAACCTGAGTGAGACCCAGAAGGAGAAAAAGTGGAGTCTCCTGCACAAAGATCAAGGATCCAGGAGCAGTTTCTGAATGGTAAGCAAAAAACAAAACACTTGTCTTTTCCAGCAGCCATTGTACAATGCATACAACAATAAAACCAGCTGACCAAAAGTGCTTGTCCTCCACTTGGGTTGCTAGGTGAGTTGGATGGAGTTTGCTAGGTAGCAGCACTAGGTAGCAGTGCAGTCCCCACTGATTGTGACTTAATATCCGGGAAATGGTCAAAACAGCTTGTTCTCCTAAACACAAAAATAAATTTTCATATTGCCATAAATTAGCAAATTGCTTTTACTTAGGACTTTGATTGATTGTTTCTAGAAACAGTAGCATTCCACATGAAAGAAAACAAACAGGCATAAAGTGAATTTCTATAATAGATCCCCCTTAAGGTTTTCAATAGCACCAGATCTTTATAAAATAAAACCTGCAAGATGTGTCATTTTGGAAGAAAAACTTCACACTCATGCTACAGCAGTGTTTTTGCACTATACTAACTTAAAATCTTTGAAAGAACAACAATAGTGGGCAGTTGTGGTTCTTTTAATCTGTATTTCAGAACATAAATGATTTAAAATACTTTAACTTTGCTGGTTACATTTTGTCATAGAAGTTGAGATGAAAACTCTACCCTCTGTGTGTCCAACGTCATAGGGTCATGACAGCAGAAATCTGTATTTTACTTCATAAAATGTTTCCACTAATGTTGTATTTTATAAAAGTCTTTGTATGCAAACCATGTAAAATACTGTGATTTGAAGCATGGTTGGTTGGGTCTAATTGTTTTGTTTGCAAACAAGAATGAAGAACCTCTCTTGTGTAATTTCTAGTTAACAGAAACTATGAATAGCAGAGGATTATATAAACTGGTGACAAGCAAAATGCTGGGGGGTTTCTGCACAGCAACTACGTACAAGTAAGCTCCACTTTTGGTTCAGCGTCTATCCAAATTGTCCTACGCACTTAGAGTAAATTTCCAGTTCTCTGATTTGGTTCTGGTTCCTGTAATGGAAATGACAGAAAGAGCCTAGAGAAAATCACCCCAAAGAAAGTTCATGCAGTTTTTCCCACCCCATCCTTTTTGTTCTTTCAACGTGTTTCATAAAAGCTTTTTTTTTCAAACATGGTTAGTCTTGTTTCCACTAGTATCAACAAATCATGACAGTTTTATAAACTTCTTTGAGGCTGAAGGTTAATCTAGCTCCAACAAAAAGCTAAAACAACCATGCAGGCTGCAGCCTATCCCAGCTGTCATTGGGAGAGGGGTGGGGTACACACTCTGACCTGTCGCCAGTCCGTCACAGGAACAACACACACATACACACTCACTTCAGTGGAAATCACCAATTAACTTAAAACGAATGATTCTGGTCGTAGCTGCAAAAAAAAAAAAAAAAAAAAAAAAAAAAAAGATGTGTTGAGGTGGAGATTTTTTTCTTTGAGGCAACCAACTACCTGATCTTGTAGTTTACTTAATTAGCTGAAGATGCTTTACATCAGATTATGTCCCCCAAAAGCATAAACTAAGTTTTAAGTTTACCTGCACCGGCAGAAACTCAGAGTTACTCAATCTCACAAAGACCATCTTAGATTTATGTACTGAACAAGAACAGCTAAGACAAATATGGCTCCAGTGCACAGAGGCATCAAAAACTCAGATTAAGTGAGTAAGCATGGCGTGCTTTTACCGATATGCTTCACCTCTCTCTCTCACACACACAAAGACATGTTGATGCACA